AATTATTTAATCATCTACAGTGCACCTTTCAGGAACATAATTTACTAATTGTGAAGGTTGTTGACAGCTTCTTTATCTGCATGTTCATAATTCAAATGAATGAGGTGATTGCACATGTCTCAGAGGCAGTATGTCCTGCAGTTGCCCCTTGAAGCTTGATAGGATTTTGTCTTTTTTCTAACTGAAGCAGTAGTCAGACCATAAAAAGGCTTCAAAAAGCATATGATCAGAATTCTCAGCTTGATTTTCTTGAGTATCAGGGTTGGTTTTTGAATTGCTGAAAGTTTTAACATCCTAAACATGAAGTCCTTTATTGTGTTTTAGCATTCCTCAGAAACCATAAATTGCTATAAGTTGCCAGCAATTTATTTGGCCTTAAAATGCTTGAAATGTTCCATCTCCTGTGATTGTTTGATGTTAATTGCCCTCAAAAATGATCTTAGCAGAGCAGGCAAGGGAATGCTTATCTGGCAGTTCACTGGTAGCATTAAAGATTTTAATAGTGCTAGATAAACACGACAGGCAATTATTGAATGTGGCTACACATTGGGAAATAAAACCAAGAGATTGAAAATATAGTCTTCTGCTGTTTCATCTTTATCTTATTTCCTAATTTGTACCTTTTAAAAGTTTAAGGTGTAGGTGTTTTTTTGAAATGTTTTCTGGAATATACTATTGAAAAATCAGACATAAAATTGTTATACCTTCTTCCACAATGATACGTGATGAATTAGTCTGAAGTCAGATATGTTAAATCTTTCTAGAACAAAGGATCTAGTCTTTAAAAGGTTTCCACCCAAAACACTGAAGGTGGCTCATTTTCCCACCTCAAACCACAATTAAAAACAACAGAAAGTCAATCGCTGCAATTTATTAAAGGAATAACTACACTTTGAAAATGTTTAGTAAACAGTACTTTGAAGTTCCCTTCGGTTCTTTGTTAGACTTTCTTCTAGATCTTTATGAACACATCATCTGCCTGCTTCAGAATCAAAAGTATATTCCAAACAGCACTGTCACCTTCTGCCTGTCTGTAGCATTCTATGGCTGTTATAACCTAACCAGATTATAACCTTTGCTCTCCAGAAGAATATCTGGCAACTCATCGTTTGCAATTGTCACTGTGCTTTACCTCTTTATATCAGATTTGTGATTGCATTTCTAAAATTGTCTCACCCTTGGCTAACAATAAAGTGATACAAGGTGCATGCCCCTAATTCATGTTTCTCTCCTAGGAACACATACATCAAAGTGTATACTTAACTTACCAAAATACATGTTCTGAAATATTCATAGCAGATGTATTAATATTAACTTCATATTTAAAACTACCTCAAGGCTCACCAACCATACAATGAATAAATAAGACATAACCCATTCACACAATAAAACACAGTCTCCAACAGCATACAGAATATGGGAGAATCTCACAGTGTAATATAGAGTAAAAAAGACTACAAATAACATACATTATGGGTTAGATAGCTTTTTGCTGCTGGGGAAAAGTATGCCTAAAAATGAAGGAGGAGGGGTTTATTTTGGCTCCATTTTAGAGTTGACTGTGCCTCTTTAACTAGCTTTGTAGTTTCTGTCTGAGGATATGCAGAATGTGGTGGAAAGTTTGCACCCACAGGGGGTGGAAGAGAGGCCGATACACCAAATACACCTTTCAACACCACACCTAGATCTCATCCTACTTTTCATCACTTCCCAGTAACATTAAAATTATGAATCAATTACTAGACTGTTTCATTGATGAAGTTAGAGCCCACCTGTTACAATCTCTTCTGAATGGTTGACTCCACTAGCTGGGACCAATACTCAACACTTGAGGACATTCTGGGGACACTGAACGTCTAAGCCACACACTGTATGAGTCAAATTACATGTAGTTTTTAAAAATAAAACTATTCTATACTGTAAGAAGTCAAGATAGCAAACACTATTAGCAATATTTTTGCTAAATAAAATATGTATTTGTTACTAACAATAAATCAATAAATAAAATATTAATATTTATTTAGCAATAAGACAATATAATTAAGAAAGACAATCAAAACTTGCGCAAATACAAAAATATTGTTGTGTAGTGGGTATTTGATAAAAAGTCTTAAACACATGAATATCTCTAATAAAAAATAGGAGCTAATATACAGAAAGATGTGCCATAAATCTGTACCTCCTCCAGATTTTATGGGTTTCACCAGCGTCTTACTGCAGTGTCCCTTGTGTCAGTCCTATACATGCAAATAAGTGCAAGTAAAACTGATGATACCTGAGAGGGCTCGGTGGAATGTATCAGTGTCAATATCTCAGTCGAAAGTACATTCTAATTGTATTAAAGCAACTGGAGAAAGAATACAAAGGAATTCTGCATATTACTTCTTAAAATTACATATGCTTCAATAATTATTTAAGAAAAAATTTCCAATACAATTTGGAAACAAGGCTATATACTAAACCTGTCATTTTAATTTAAAGATGTTCTGATTTCTCTGTATTTGAAGATATCAATATTTATTGCTTACTTTTAAAATATAAAGTATAAAAGTAAAATATAAAATAAATTAACAAAATTAATTTAAGACCTGAGTACCACAAAAACATCAAGCAGTGTCATTAAAAGAAATTAAAGAGCCGAGCAGTGGTGGCACATGTCTTTAACGACAGCACTCAGGAAGCAGAGAGAGGCTGATTTCTATAAGTCCAAAGCCAGCCTCCTGGTCTACAGAGAGTTCCAGGACAATTACACAGAAAAAAAACCTGTCAAAAAAAAAGAAAGAAAGACAAACAAACAAAAAGGAAGAGAGAGAGAGAAGAAGAAGAAGAAGAAGAAGAAGAAGAAGAAGAAGAAGAAGAAGAAGAAGAAGAAGAAGAAGAAGAAGACGGGAAGGAAGTGATGGAGGGAGGGAGGAAGGGGGAGAGAGAGAGAGAGAGAGAGAGAGAGAGAGAGAGAGAGAGAGAGAGAGAGAGAGAGAGAGAAGGAAAAGACCCAAATAAATGGAAAGAAATCCCAGCTTCTCAACTACCTGGATTGTTACCATGGCAAGATGCTCAAGTTAAGCAGACTTGAAGTGATTCCCATTGGAAACCCAAATATCTTTAATTGCAGAAATTGAAGAGCTGTTCTAAAATTCATATGATTCAAAAATAACCAAATCTATACTGAGAAAGAATAAAATTGAAATATTCACACTTTCTGACTTCAAAGCTCTCTCTGAAGTTAGACTTGTCCAATCAGAGTGGAACTAAGACTAGAGACAAAGACAAATGAATGAAACCTCAGGTCCAGAAGTCAACCCTTCCTTCGATGTGGAGAGCAAAAGCTTTCAAGAAATGGGATCGGGACGACTCGGAAAGCTGATGACTGACGCCAAGTCACTCCATGGCACTACAGGTGATGTCAGTGACTACATGCAAAAGGATGGGCCCTTTACTCATACGGAAAACGTAAACCAAAGAAAAATTAAAATTTATAGAACTCTCAGAGAAAAAAAGAATATAAACCTTTGTGAATTTGAATTAGGAAACAATTTCCTAGACTTAAAACCTAAGCACAAGGAAACATAGAGGGAAAAAAAGGTGGATTTTGTCAACATTTAAATCTTTTATTTGTTTGTTTATTAGAGAACTTCCTTTTGTCTGCTCTTGGAACTCTTTTCCTCCTGTTGGGTTGCCTTATCCAGCCTCCATATGGGGAAACCATTTAACTAAATGAAAACAAAAACGGATATTGTTTCATTTGGTCTCATTTATATGAAATGTGAATTAAAATGCAATTTTGTAAAGCCCCATAGTAAATGATTGTTGGCATATGAAGAGGAAGATGAGAAGTGGATATATTGAGTGATAAAAGTAAGGGCAGAATTTCAGAAAAGGAGTCTAAAGATGATCTAAAACTCTAAAATTTAGATGTTAACTATACAACTCAGCAAATATACAAAAATTCAAAACATAAGCTGATTTTTTTATGTTATATGATTTTTTAGCTCAAAATGTTTTCAATCTACCTGTCCCCTAGTAGACTGTGAATATGGTAGTCACTTGCATGATCAAGTCTGTGGCATCGATGTAAAATGATGAAGCAGACTGATTTTGACTTCTTTCTAAAGTCTATATACAGAAAGAATAGGCATTTGATTTTTGATCAGAGGAATTTTGCTTTTCCATCTATTTGATATTTCATGATATTTGATATCATGAAAAGTCAAGTTGGAAGTAAAGAACTAATCAAAGAAAGCAGCCTGCTTCCTGAATCCAATCTATACACTATTCTTTTAGCTAGTCAGTTGATGGAATGAGTCTACACCGTTCCTTTCCCTGAGCTCTTAGCCTTGTCAATCATCTCTCTGTGTTTGTTTTCTTGTTTCTGCCTAATACAGTTAAAATTCCAAGAGAGTCAAATGGACCCAAGATGAGGTGTGACTTTAATAGCAACAGTGCTGTGGAGATATGAGGCGTTGTTTGCATAACATCCTTCAATTTCCCTCCTCAGAATTGATTTTCAAGGAAGGGGAAACACAAGGCACTAACTTAAATGGATTCTTTAGGATGGTTATTGAGACAGACTGGCTTTTCTTGAGGAAGAATGCTGTGAGGACTCAGAGCCCTGCCAGTGTGTGGCATTAACACATAAGGTGTCACAGAAATCTGTGTTAGGAGATTTTTAACAACGTTCTGGCAGCATTGAGAGTGAGATGGTTAGCCGACAGGTTACTGTCAATTAAACGAGAGCTGTCACAAAGTCAGAAATACTGAAACATGGTGGGCATGAATCCTAAGCAGATCATATGGCAGCTACTCAGCTGTTACTTTAACACAGTCGTGGTATAGATGTGTCATTTCCCTGCAGATTTTAATTTGAGTCCCCAAGGACACAGACAACTCTTCATTTGCATGCTGCTGTCAAGTCCAAAGTGGACCTTCTAATGAGCTGGAATGGTGGGTGTGAGGCGGAGAATGACATGTGGCAACTTCTTGTTCCATTTTCCTCTGCTCAGGTTACATAGAAGAAGCATGCATCATCCCCTGCCCCTCAGACTGCAAGCTCAGTGAGTGGTCCAACTGGTCTCGCTGCAGTAAGTCCTGTGGCAGCGGCGTGAAGGTCAGGTCCAAGTGGCTTCGAGAAAAGCCTTATAATGGAGGAAGGCCTTGCCCCAAACTGGACCATGTCAACCAGGTATTTCCCTAACACCAAGTGTATTAAGATATTTCTGAGATTCCCAAGGATCAATTATCTCTCCAAAATGTACAAAGTTAAATAATTGCTCCTGAATAAGAAATATGATTGATTTCTATTCTTCTAAGGTCCGAGTAAATTACATGTAACTTACTAAAATCTAAAATCTTGAATTATATATATTATCTCTGAATTCTCTGGGGATTCAGAATCCTGCAAGCAGCTAGATAGGAACAGAATTCCAGAGAGGTGAAAAGACACCTATCTTGTGAATAACGGCAAGGTATTTATTTATCTGCCATACAATTGTGCCTCACTGCTGTGATGAGGTCACATAATTCTTACGGTTTCCCTAGACTCCCAGAGAGAGTTCTCAGTTACCAAGTACTAAACATAAAAGCGAAGAAAGGACTTGAGTGTTCTCTAAAATTAGGGGAAATACTATTTATTCCTTTCAATCTACTCTGCATAAAAATAAATTCAAGAAAATAAATATGAAGAACGTCAAAGCTTACATATATATATATATATATATATATATATATATATATATATATATGCTAGCAATTTAGTCTCGGCCTTTTCTAACATTGGAGCTGTGTTAGGGCTTGCAGGCACACTTCATTAGCTGCTGCAAGTGATTGTTATTTGTATTCTATTGCAGATAAAGAGTAAAGCGGCTAATGACAGAGTTGTGATTAATTTAAGTGTAACAGAACAGACAATTGTTATCACAGTTTATCGGCATGTAAATTAGCACAGAATGGATTTTATAGAGTGGGTGCAGATGTTATGTCTTGAATTTGAGCCATGATCAAATGAACCAAGTATTTAAATATGTAAAGCTGTTTCATGGGGACATAGCCTATCTCATTTTAATCTCTAACTGCATTGTTATCTTCTGTTTCCTTCTGATTAACCTAAGATTGTTGATAACAATAGAACTATACCACATAAAAAGTAAATAAGTATTTTAAGTAAATAAGTATTAAGCTATATTATTATAATTTTAATTATAATTATATATTAATGAAATAATAAATAAGTTAATAAGTATTTTAAGTAAATGAAAATGGAAACATTGAAGAATTAAATTCATGGAAAGTATTCTCAATTAGTCTGAAGTTTTCCAAAGTTGATGAATTTAGGCAATGGAGAGAGAATAATACACTCTACTATCGCCATCTACTGGCAGTTGAGCTGCCTTGTCACAGAATATTTTATATTCCTACTCTGCAAGTGTTCATTTCCAAAGCTGAAATGCATCTGCAGCGCTATAATTGTGTGAATATAAAACAGAATAGCAGAGGTGACATATATATGATCCAGAAGAATGCTTGTCTACAACTTAGGAAATCTTGAATTTCCAATGACAAATTTAAATATTAATAAATTGTGATCTAACAAAGAGGAAGTGTACATATACGCAATACCTCGTGAGTGTATGTGTCCAATGAGTCAGTATGCAATGCAAATATGCCACATTTGCCTGAGCCCTTCTGTTTCCAAAGTTTCATGACCATGTCCTAAGTTGTCTGTACTGTACAAATTGCTAGACTAAGACACTTCCATTGTTACTTTCCAAAATAAACAGGGATTTAAGTATTAGTAAAATAGTCAAGAAAATAAAATATACAAAACATGTGGTAATGTTTAAAAATATAAGGCATGCAGATTTTAGTATAATTAATTCCTCAGTAAAATTATAGCAGTCCCTTGACTTGAACATGGTCTCTGAAGTTGTTTCCTAGCTGAAGTTAAGTCCTAAGGTTCTTATTTCAATGAAAATGAATGGATGGATTAAAGTGAACTGAGGGATAGATGGATCTGTAGGTGGGTCAATATATACATAACAGTACATTTATCAGTTGGCTCATCACTTATTTGAAATCATAGTTCAGTTTACCATGACAGGGGCTGGGAGAGCCACTCAGTTTTTGAAGCTTGGTCATCCTGCACATACAATCTTTTCCTTGGTTGTGCAGTCCTTGTCTATACATCTTAAATTTAAGTCCTGTTAAATGGTTGGTTTATATCTCCTAAAGTCTAAGGAAGACATCCTAATCTTTTACAAAAGTAATGTTTTATATAAAAGTCCTTATAACTGAAATGTAGAGTGTGAGTTCTTATCAAAATAACTGACATTTTAACCTTTCTTTTTTCTTGTCCTTTTCTTCATTCCTGCCAAACACTACCCCAGGCACAGGTAAGCACCCTTATCTCCTGATTCTTCAGAGTTCTTAAAAAAAAAAAACCATTACTTTCTCCACTAGATTTGCCTCTGCCTATCCCTATTTATTTTATTTAGTTACCAGAATTTCTTTATTTATAGGGCCTGGGGAGATGTGGTGGAGTGAGTAGGTTTCACCTATATCCCACGTTGATGAGGCAACAGAACCTCTTATTTATGCTGAAAGAAGAGAGGCATGGTGGGCTGTAAATGGTTGTTTGGAGATGTCTATGAAATAATTTGCATTTACCCCAACAAAGAGGAATAATGATCCATTTATCAGAGGATTAGGAATAGCAGCAGGTCCCTTCATTTTATCTCTTCCATTACCTCGGAGTGGTGGGGGATGTTTAGCCATGTGATAATGGTCCTGTTTTAACACACCAAATGGGACTGTGCTGGCTGTGCCATTAGTTAGAGTCTTATTCCAACAGTGCATATGTTTTACTTCTTATCTGGGGTAGTTCTGCTTTATTTTGGTTTTCAGTCCTCCAAATGTGCAAAATAGCTCCAAAGGACTGTTTAAATCTGTTTCCTGGAAGTGATTGCATAAATCATCTATATACCATAGTGTGAGAGAGAGAGTGTGTGTGTAAAATAGGAAACAAAATTGAATTTTTATATATTATGAAAGTGTTTTAAAATATTTTTCTTTAATGGTTGTATTCTTGGTTGGTCCATTTATTTCTTCTACTTATTTTCCTCATTGGAAAACAGCACAATTGCTTTATTGTTCTAGAATTCCTGAACAAACATAACATACTGCATTTGAGACTGAAAGCTTTGTGGACAATAACCACAAATAGTTGGCTGTGCTCTGTGAGGTCCTTGCTGCTGACAGTTGTATCTGTAGCTATATGTCATACAAAAATTATTTAGGACCTTGTTTCTATACCTTAAGTGATTGAGGATTAGTTTTAAGAATGGATTTATTTCCATTTATTTATCATTTCAGTTTCTTATATGAAAAAATGTTAATTCTTACAACTATACACACTTATATGTAAAGATGGCTAGATTATATTTATTTGAAGAACAAATGTTTGCAATATTCATTCATTCATTCATTCATTCATTTGGCAAATCTCCACATAAGAGTGCCTGAGGCTAAGGACTAGACACACAAAACCTTTAACAAAGCAGATAGTCCAGAAGACTATAATATAATATGCTAAATGTCAGTTTATGAAAATATGTTTTGAATCTGGCCTAGTGGGTTAGATCTACACTCACTGGGTAAAAGCAGACAGAGAATGCAGCTCAGCCCAAGCTCCCCCTCTTGACTAGACTAGATCTTTCTTACTACTTGAGCGTTTGAACAATCATGGGGAGGAATGAAAATGGATGAAATAATGACCGTGATTATATAGGCGTCTTCCATCCACCCACCCCCCACTCTCACTGCACTGCCTAAGATCACCAGATGTGTGTTTCAGGTGTATGAGGTCGTCCCGTGCCACAGTGACTGCAACCAGTACATATGGGTCACAGAGCCATGGAGTGTCTGCAAGGTGACCTTTGTGGACATGCAAGAGAACTGTGGAGAGGGTGTGCAGACCCGAAAAGTGAGGTAAGACTAAGCAGAATGACAGAGAAGCAACATGGCAATCACCTCCCTATTCCACAGGCAGCAACATGGGGCTTCCCTCTTCTCCACTGTCCTGAGAATGTTCGTTAGTTTTGATTTTAGGTAATCTGGGTACCTGGAAATGAAGACCCTCTGTTTCAAGCAGCAATTTGTGTCCCTGACACCCATAAAGCTTACTTTCATGTGTATTTCCAGTGGTCTGCCTTGATAATATACATATGCATAATATACAGACCTAGTAGGTTATGTATTTATTTATATATTTATATATTAAAAATTTATATATTTAGGAATCTATATCTCTATATTTATCTGTACTGACACATATACATAAATGTATGTAGCAGCAAAATAGGCCATGAATTTTCAAAAATGCAAGGAGGGGTATGGGGGGCTTCTGGAAGGAGAAAAGAAGATATAATATTATAATCACAGTTCCTAACTTTAAAAGCTTCACTTTATAATACTTTTTCAAAATTGCATTCATTTTTATTCTTGAGATTATAACATAATCTCAAAATTCATGGCCTATATTTTCATTAATGCTGTTACATACACTTATGTATATGTGTATATACAGATAAAGAGAGAAACATAGATTCCTAAATATATAAACACAACCTACTAGGTCTGTATGTTACTTGTATGTATGTTAGCAGGGCTGACCATTGGAAATACACGTTGAAAGCAAGCTTTATGAGTGTAGATGTTAAACTTCAGTGGCTTCTTAAAAGCCAAAAATGTTTCTTTTAAGCATATGTCTTTTTTGTATACGTTCATGTATGTATGGAGGCCAGAGATCTACATTGGATGTTTATCTCATTCACTGCCTGCCTTACTTTTTGAGCTAGGGCCTCTCACTGAACATGTGCTGTCCAACAAGCCCCAGGGATACTCTTGTCTTTGGCTCCTCAGTACTAGGATCGCAGATGTGTGCTGTCGGGTTTAATAATTTTGTCATATGAGTGCTGGAAATTGAACCCAGGTCCTCGTACTTATGTGGCAAACACTTTACTTACAAAGACATCTTCCCTACCACAAAAGCCAACTATATTTGTAAACACATATTTTCAAATACCCTACCTTGACTTCCTGCTTTTTTCTGTCAACCTGCCTGGCATTTGAACACTCTCATCTCCTTCAAGAAGACGTCTCTGAACCTGTGGCTAGCTGTTGCCTCTCACTTATTCAAATTTAGCTATCCCGTATAACAGGATAGCTACTGGTCATGTGTGGCTATTTCAATTTCACCTTAAACTAATTAAATAAAGTTTTGAATGCATTACTTCATTCACACTACTCATAATTTCAAATTCTCGATTGCCACATATGGCTGTTCTGTTGGACAACACAGTCGTAGACTATTCTATTCATCACACATTTCAACACAGATGTAGAATATTTTTTTATCATAAAATATGATAATAATAGTAATAAATCCAGAGCTTGACATCAGTTCACTCTCATCTATAACTTTAATTTATCACAAGTTTCACAATCTATTTCAGTAGAAAGTTTTTATTTAATTAATGTTGATATCATAAAACATTTGCATATAAAATATGTATAACCTTTTTTCTTATTAAAAAAATTATGTTTGTCTCCAAAACTCATGTTAGTGCTTCATTTACAATTTCTATTGGCCATAATGAAGGCAGACTAAAAATGAAGACAGGAAGGAAGGTGATAAGTAGATAAGAAATGAAAAGGTAAAAACAGAGTTCCTGTCCTCTACACTTTTGCTTTCAAATTAAAATTTTTCCCTCCAAATTTAAAAATCATTTCCTTATGTGAGGAATTTGAGTCAGTTGCTTGTTTTGTTAGTGAAAATTTGTAATGAAAGAAGGTGTATTGCACTTTTTCTTCAACTGTTGTGTACATGCTTCTTTTTGCTTTGTAGTTATTGTTAATGTTCCCAAACACATTTGAAACAAAGTAACTTTTCAGATCAACTTATGTATTGAGGTTGATGCAATAGAGAGAGAGGTCACTATTGATCGTGATCTCTGATCATGTAATAATGTGCCTGCTTGTTCCTGATTGAGTGGTACAGGGCTCAAACTCTATCCTCCACTAATTAGGGTCAGGAAGTCCTGCCTACATACAAATGTGAGCTGACATTTCAGGATAGATGGGTCTATAGAAGAGCAGGCTTGTGTTTAGCTATTTTCAATCTTTCTCAGTGAGGAAGGAAGGACCTCTAAGGAAGTGGATAGTAGATGTGGTTCTTCCTTCCTTCCTTCCTTCCTCCTCTGCTCCTTCCTTCCACATCTTCCTCCCTTTCTCCTCCCCCTCCTTCCTTCCCTTTTTTTCTTTCCTCTCTTCTTTCTTTTCTTCCCTTCCCCTGGAGCTAGGAATCAAGCCATGATCTCAAGGAGGCCAGGCAAAGAAAAGGGCAAGCTGTCAATGACATCTTTGCTGTTACAGTTTTATGCACACAATGACAACACAAATAAAAAGAGGCAGTTAGAGTTGCTGTTAGTGCAGCTGCTGTGTCCCAGCCATGCAGACAATGCACCCTGATTTCCCTACCTGTTAGGAGTCGGCCACCTCCAAAGTGGTCCTGCAGTCTCCACTTGCAATATACTTCATTCTTCTCAAAAAACTGTCATGGCTCTTTAGAAAAATAGAAAGGCCAAGGCTAAGAAGGAAACAAATTAAAAGTATATTTCTTTGGAATTAAGCTTGATCCAAGTATTTATTTTGAATTTTAGGTTGAAAAAAATATCAATGCCAAATAAAACAAATGCACATCTTGGTAGGTAGAATTTGTTCCTATTTTATGAAATGGAAATATGTTTAAAAATAATAATTCATTTTAAAATAAATCAGATCTATTAAGAGAAGTTACCTCTGAGTGGTAGATTTGTGGTTAAATTTTTTCTTGTTTTTGAGTTATTTATACAATACAAAATTAAGAAAGATAAAAAGCCTTTACCTATAAAGTTGTGTGTATATAGCTACCTACTAGGGTATTGAACATCTGCTCTTAACTTGGATCAATAAGCAATTTTACAAGTTAATCCTGTGTGCTGCATCAGTATCTGCTAAGAATGCAATCTTTGCATCAGTTCCACCTTTTGAATGAGAAAATGCTTGACCGTCCATGTCTTTGCCAGGTCGCTGGTGAAAGAACATTTTTAGAATGTTACTGAAAATAGGACTTTTTCCTACATAACTAAAACCTCCTTTCAATAAATCTCTAATTTAATTTTTCAACAATTAAATCACCAAATATCTGCTGATTCATTTTTTTTGTGAATGATTTTTTGAAACATCACAGATATCAGTTTTTATGTAGTTTTTTTTTTCAGATTGCATGGCCAATCAAAATACAAGTATTGATAGTCTTCCAAGCTTTCAATGTGTCTCATTTAATAGGAATAGTTTTCTTAAAATTGTTATCACTGTAAATAGTGATCCTTCAGAGGATATTTTTAAAGACACAATGTCCTTCCTGCTGGAAATCTCTGAGCAAAGATGGGATGTCAGGCATATAACTGTGGCATGACTCAGCCAACTGCTAAAACACGGCCCAGGAGGTTTAAGAGCCCATCTTCCTTTTCATCTTCCCATAGGTACCTCCCGTCCCGAACCCATTAATTTGGTTGACCTTTTCTACATTATAGATTAAGGATCACGTTTTTCTCTCCCACTGTTGAAGTTCACAGAGAGATTATTAACTAAGGTAAAGGGAGGCCAAATTAATTAGCTTCTCAAGAGATCAGTAAAGAGTAATTCTTGATTGTTCATAATGGAATAGTATGAACTAAGGTGTAAATTTGTTCCAATAAAAGGAAAACTAACAATTAAGAAAAAAAATCAAGATAAAAGATCCAAATAACCATACTTAGAGAAGTTGTGCGGTTCTAATTATAATTTTCTTTTGGTTTCTGGCTTTCTTCTCAAGTTAGCAGATGGGAAACTAAAATTGCCTTTTAAATGGCTTTTAAAACTATTTCATTTTATTTATTTGTACACACACACACACACACACACACACACACACACACACACACACACACACATCACAGGGCCCATGTGGAGGATAATTTGCTGGGATCAGTTCTTTCTTTTCTGCCACGTGAGTTCTAGGGACTGAAATCAGGTCATCAGGTTTGGTTGCAAATGCCTTTACCCACTGAGTCATCTTGCTGGCAGCTAAAATTACCTTTTAAAATGACAAAACAAACTGATAAATGCCTTATCTTTGAAATCACCTAATGAAGCATTTTGTGTGAATATTGCAGTGTATCTAAGCCTCCATCACCTATGAGTCAACTGCATTATCTCTGAGAATCTCTTTGGATCATTTTTCATTAGTTCCTGTCTCACATATGGATGTAAAAATTACTTCCCTTGCAAAGAAACATGATAGCACTTACCAATTCACTGAAGCTATCTTATTAAAATATTATAAGTGTGCATGTGAGCATTTCTTCTTAAAGAAGTACTAGCTATATTTAGGGGGGGAGCATGATTACTTTTAACTTCCTGCTTTGGGAGAATGTTATTTATCAGATAATGTCTTAATGAGACCTACCCATCCTGTGTGTTGGTTGTCATTCTAATTGTCCTGGTTCCTTTGTTGATGTGCATGCTTTCTTTTAGATGCATGCAGAATACAGCAGATGGCCCTTCTGAACATGTGGAGGATTACCTATGTGACCCAGAAGATATGCCCCTGGGCTCTAGAGAGTGTAAACTACCATGCCCTGAGGACTGTGTGATATCTGAGTGGGGGCCATGGACCCAGTGTGCTTTGGTGAGATTATTAGCCATTTGGGTAAAATAAAGCTTGCTTAATTTTTGAAGGTTTAAAAAAATAATTTCATTGAAAAAAAAATCTCTTTGTGAGCCATGTTTAAAAAGCAAGGTGTGCTTTCTTGGCTACTTCCTTGTATGGGTGAGCCATGTAAATTCAGCAATGTTTCTCCAACAGCATGACCTCTTACAAGCCCTTTGCTCCTTTTCAACTACACTCCTAAACCAGCACATGATGCCTTCAGCTGGCCTTGTAGAGTACACAGAATCTTAGCAACTGCTCTGGTCACCATGGTTCCCTTTAGTGAAAGTGAGGAAAAAACGAAACTCTAGTGGAGTTCCTCTAAGAGTGTTAGTTTGGTATCCCTTGCTTCGAATTTGTTTAATTTCAACAGTAGGAAGACTCTTTCACACAGGGAAATGCTACAGGAGTATTGACATTAGAAAGTAAAAGATCCTGAGTAAGAAACTGAGGAGAAAGAAGGTTACTCATGGTAAGACCTCAAATGTTCTTCTAAGATGATTATAGACATTCAAAACAGAAACCAAATGATCACAGTGTTTCTTCAGTGAGCCTGCTATTAGAATCCTGTTGATGAGTATAAAAGCAGCCTGGTGAGTTCAACAGCCTCTCTTTTATAAGAGCAACTTTGTAATAGAATCTGTGACAATTTGAATTTCATCTGTGGGATCCACTATTTTCTTAAGAAGAAAAGGATCACGTGCCAAAACTGCACCCTCCCTGAACATCTCTTCTTCAAAACACTTCTTACTTAGTGCCTGTCTCACAGTGGGGGCGGGGAATATTATTTCCCTTATGAAGAAAGTTCACTGGGTATTAGTGAGGGTTCTCTAGAGGAACAGAAGTTATAGAGCTTATATTTTAGCAGGGGGAGATTTATCAGAGTGGCTTACAGGCTGTGGTCCAGCTAGTCCAACAATGGCTGTCATCAACTAAAGGTCCAAGAATTCAGTAAATGCTCAATCCAAGAGGCTGATTGTCTCAGCTGGTCTTCAGTATATGCCAGAATCCCAAAGCAGTAGACTCTAGTGCCAGTGAATGAGTGGACTTGCTAGTGAGAGTAAGGGCAATCAGGCAGAGAGCATCCTTCTTCCAGGTCCTTTATATAGGCTGCCTACAGAAGGTGTGGCCCATATTAAAGGTAGATCTTCCCTCCTCAAAAAATAAGTGTTAAAGGTATATCTTCCCACTTCCAAGATCTGGATTAAAGGTGTATCTTCCCACTGCAAATGATTTAATTAAGAAAAAATCCCTCACAGGGAATTGGGTTTTAGTTAATTCCACATGTAGTCAAATTGACACCAAGAACAGCCTGACAGTCACACATAGTCTGAGCTTCTTCACGTTCCTAGAAAGCCAAATGACTTCAAACTCAGACAGAACTCTGGATTTCAACAGTAGTGGGGGCCCTACCATCCATCCAGAGGAAGGGAATCACTTGAAGCAATATACAGGAAATTTAGTGTCTTAGTTAGAGTTACTGTTGCTGTGATGAAACATCATCATGACCAAAAGCTGTTTGGGGAGAAAAGGATTTATTTTACTCGCACTTCCACATGTCAGTTTATCATCAAAAGCAGTGAGGGCAAGAACTCATGACGGACAGGAACCTGGAGGCAGAAGCTAATGCAGAAGCCATGGTGGGGTGCTTCTTTCTGGCTTGCTCCTTCTGACTAGCTTATCCTGCTTTCTTATTGAACCCAGAAGTAAAAGCCCAGAGACAGGATGACACCATTGACAATGGGCTGTCCCGACCACATTGATCATTAATTAAAAAAAAAAAAAAACTCTACCAGCTTGCCTACAGCCCAATCTTGTGGAAGCATTTTCTTAATTGGAGTTCCCTTCTCTCAGATGACACTAGCCTGTGTCAAGTTGATATAAAACTACCCAGCACAATTAGCTTAGCCCTGCACAGCTTTTAAAAGCAATGTGAAAAAAATATTGGAAAGATACATCTAATGTCAAATTGCTTGAATTACAGTAAAGGACAGCTTCAGGCAAGTTTATAGTCTGTGTTTTCCAAGGAGATTTGCCTTTTTGTGTCTCTGTTAACACTGTTAACATGAGAACTGGAAACCAACGGACTGTTCAGAAGAACAGGCCCAATCTATCACTTGAACAGATATGGAAAAGAGGGTAAAGGCTCCACCCTCCTTGAGAGTCTGCAAATGAATTTCTGTTTTAATTCTCCAGTTGAACTCCATTCTACAGTATCTGTTTCTGTTTACAACAATGGAATTCTCATCATCAGATATTCCATTAAAAGAATCTTCAGGTTCTACAAAACAGAGACTGTTGAACTTGGGCAGCTCACTCCTTAAATCCCTTAGCAGGGATGCCAGTAACAGGAACTGGTGAACAAGAATTCAGCCCATCTGGGTTCTGTTTTAAATATCCGTAAGTAACTGTCTTAAAAAAATATTGAGTTCCACCATGTGTAACAAGGAAAAGTTTGTGAAACATATTTTGTTTTCTTGAGCATTTGCCAATAGAAATTTTAGAATGAGATTAAAATTCAACTAGTTGAATAGGTATACCTTTTGGACTTTATAAGTTATCTTGTTTCATCACCCAAGACATCCATAAACAAACACAAAGCATTTACTGTGTGTAAAAAACTATTACATTAAAAGAATATATAGATATAGAAGACAGAAACTGTTCAGTGTACTCACACTTTGAGTACAGTTTTATATAATTTGCATTCTCTAAATACAGAAAGTATTGCTTCCGTGATATGATTAAAATACAGGAAGAGCAAAAGACAAGGCAATAACTACTTTGGGCCTAAGAAATCCAAAATTGTTTGTCCCTTTCTGTTCTTAGAAGCCAAATGTTTTCAGAAAGATGCACCAGTAAGAAAATAGGCAGCCACTCTATAGATGCTAAATTGTTTATATGAGCATGTGCATTAGGAAAATAAAAGTCATTGATACCTAGATAATTGTTTCAAGTCACCATTTAAACTGTTTAAGTCAATTAATACATTCACACACACAAGTGGAAACATGCATATACATGTATGTACTTTTATACATATACATTAAATCATTACAGTTTATAGGATTAACATTCTTTGTTACTGATTATGGCCATGTGAATGTGTTTATATAGGTGTGAGGTAATGACTTAGGATGGGACATCGGATTCTTAGTCAATGTCTGCATTCCACATATGGGAACTCTGAAAGATGATGAGGTTAACTGACTTGTTCAAATTAGCCAATGAATTGAGTGCTGTAATGCCAGCTCCAGTACCGTGCTAGCTGTCGGACAGCTGAGTTTACCTTTCTGAAAAATGCTATTGTTCTTTGTAAGCCTTGCAATCCAGGTGGTTCCCGGCAAAGGTCGGCTGAGCCTATCAGACAGCCTGCTGATGAAGGAAGAATCTGCCCCAATGCCGTGGAGAAAGAGCCCTGTAATCTGAACAAAAACTGCTACCACTATGACTACAACGTCACAGGTGAGCACTTTATCATGTCTTCATAGAATCTGGGGTTCTGTCACGTATAAATCAGCTCTAGACATTCTCATCTGCCTAGGCAAGCTATGCTGTGTGCCATTTGGAGACATAGCTTACACTCTGAGCAATAATGACATGAAGTAGTTATCTGTTTTATTTTTTATTAAACATCAAATATAGAAAATAAAAGTATCACAAAGACTAAATTTTTGAAGTATGTGGTAAATATTCCAGATAATCCTATTTATAACCTCCCACTTTAGAACGGTACAAATATATTTTCTTTTTTGGCAGATGTTTAATTGTTATAACATCTACATCAATAATTCCTGGGGTGCAGGGACATTTATGAACAACATTAGCATGACATAAAATCCTGTAATCTTAAAGATGAGTATTCAAATAAGTAGACTTGTGATAAATTGCATTTGTTTCATTGATTTCATTTAATACTGTCAAAGCATACACATCAAAAACATTTCATTGGTTCCTTTGGTTTGGTAAAACATCAAAGCCAACTTGAATTTTTCCCAAGTAATTTCCACATTGAAATAAGCTCAAGAAATTGAAAACAGAAATGTAATAGTCACATTGGCTTCTGTTTCTTAGTTTTCTCTACAGTTTGTTTTGATGACACAAAGGAAATTAAAGTTCTCTAGGGTATGTTGTCCTAGCCTAGAGAAAGATGAAAGAATGATTTTTGCGAAAGATACAAAGTAAGGGAAATTTAATAAATATGCTGAAGTTATTTATGAAATAAATGAGTTTGCATTATTTTTAAAAAATCCTTCTTATGGAAACAAATGAAGTACATGGTGTTACTATAACTACAGAGTACCACCCATTAAAATTATGCCTACTTTGTTAAAAGAAACATAATGCTAAATTTTTAAATTCCACCCTTCTTAAGAAAAAAGTTTAGAAATGGTATTGATCTACAGAGCAAAGCCATTTTTACAATATCACTAAATAGCTAGCTGTCAAGATTGTCAAGTAGACATCTGCCTTAAAGAATAATCCCCACCGCTCTGTGCAACCGCAGCAATTCCATTTGACTCCTAATACGTTCAAGGCTGGGACCCATATGCTCTGCATGTGGGATGATTGATTGTGGGGCTTAGGAAGCAGTTATGAATTAGGTATGGGATTCAGGTCATCAGAGTTTCATCTGAAATCTGTTTGTGCATCGCCTTCTGTTCTGATGGGTCTTGCTCTGTTCAGACTGGAGTACATGTCAGCTGAGCGAAAAGGCAGTTTGTGGAAATGGCATAAAAACAAGGATGTTGGACTGTGTTCGAAGTGATGGCAAGTCTGTTGACCTGAAATATTGTGAAGAGGTGAGTGAGTGCTGTGTTAAATGTTTGTAGGAAATTCTTCCCTAATAATTTAAATTCACATGAAGCCAAGTGACGTGTGCTCCACACAGCGCATGGCCAACAGCTGTTTTCACAGGCTGTCTAGTGCCCTCCTGAAAAGAGACAGTATCCACACTACTGATTTCCACAGATAATTTCCTGTATTTTGTTCTGCTTGGAGCCCAAAGGTATGCTAATTAGCCCATTCTAGAAGAAATGCTTAGGAAACAATAAGCAATCAAGGTGAATAAAGGCAATAAATCTTAATCAGACCACTCATCATCTTTTGTAATTTGATGTGAATTAGGTGCAGAGCTTGGACACCTGCCAAGATCCATCATTTATTCTTTCTGTTGCTAAACATTGATCACATGCAGTTTCATAGCAGATTTTGGTATTAAGATCCGATACCCAGCTGCGAGAATCTAAGTACTTAGGTCTCATGTCTGGATAAGAAAGCTGAATGTTCAAGCAAAGAAATGAAGTCTGTCACCATTATTTTCAAGGCGCAGAAAAACTGTAGTTTATAGTTAATCATTGAATGAAAGCAATACCATCATTCTTAGCTGTGACCTTCTGAGCAGTGGAGAAACATTGCATTGACCTTTTCATAGAGCTGCACCTCTTAGGGATTTTTGTCTGATTTCCAAACCTAAAAGGATATGGTATTTCTGTCATTTGGCTCCCTGTGCTTCCGAGATCCACAGGGGTCATTTTCAGACCAAATAAGCAAGGGCTTCAATAGCTCTGAAACAAAACTGTCTTAACTCTTATGGAAAAGCCATAAATGGAACTACTCACATGCACTTAATGCCACTGTCAGGTGCACATAACTTTAACTTCCTGGCATCTCTGTCTATAGATTTTCAGATGCTCTAAAAACAGCAAGTTGTTTAGTTAATAAATGCCGGCCACTAAAATCTCGTGACATGAACCAACCTATTAATATGTTACGTGAAAGTAAGTTAAACTCAAGTTTTTAAACTAATACTATTTAAACAATATAACCAACATTAAATAGCACTTTTGTGAGTGAAGATTATTACAACAATCACAAACTTCCCAGAGAGTGGCCTGTGATTCAGCACAAGCTGATGGTGAGTGTAGTCTCTTTTGTAAATGCCTGGCCAAGTTCCCTCTTTACAAGATCATGAAATGACCTCTGTGAAAGAGGAGCCCAAAGCATTCAAGACTATTTTAAAGTGCCTCATATTATGTGAATTCTGCAGGGACAACTGCAGGTTCAAATCCAAACATCCTGGCAAATGCTGTCTTTAGGGAGAACTAAGCTACTCTCTGTGGGAATTAAACAGCACACATAGCATTTTATACATCTCTGTGACTCCAGCTGGCTCCACAAACAACTGGGCTGTCTGTGTAAACAATGGTCAGACCACCTACCTGCCAACCCCTGTGCAAACCCTGCATTCAGTTCAGCAGCAGTAGGTAGCTCTTGCTGTTTCCTTAATAGCAGCAAAGAAATGTGTCATTACTGCCCAACAAAGAGGAAAATTAGGGTTAAATTCACTTGCATTTGTGTAGTGTATTTTCCCCTTTGGTGTTTTTTAGTTTTGTTTTGTTTTGTTTTTAACTCATTTGATACCTAGTTATTGTGTCTCCTTTTCTATTTTTAAAACCTAAATGGATTATTAAGATTTACTTAGAAACATATTTACATGAATAAATGAATTAATTTGGGCAGACAATATGCATAGATAGATAGATAGATAGATAGATAGATAGATAGATAGATAGATAGATATGGATGGATGGATGGATGGATGGATGGATGGATGGATGGATGGATGGAGGAACAAACAGATAGAGTGAAAAGATGAAATAAATGTCAGGAGAAACAGAGTTTAAAAGTCTAATTAGTGAATAGCCAAGACATTCTAATGAAGTAAGTCAGTACAAATTTATTCTGTGTTAAATGCTTCCCCTGAAGCTATGGCAGATCATAAATGTTTCATATTACATTCACTATATCACCCCAAGATGTATCTCTCCACCCTCCTGTGTTTCTTAAAAATCTTTATGAGGCTTTAACTTAGTGGCCTGGAATAGCTTTAAATCCCAGATACGCGTCTATCTTTGCCCTCTGTCTCCTTCCTTAGCATTTCCTGTTCTCTTCTCATAGTCTCTTGTCTAATTTCATAGTCAATATTCACTCTCACAACCACATACTTACATATGTACAATATTAAATTTTAAACTTCTTTTTCATGTAAAACAAAAAAGGTTTGACAATTCTGAGAATTACCAATAAAAAATTTATCTTCCTACTATAATATTAATTATACTTTCATTCTAAATTGTTCCCTGGACTTCACTTCAAAGATTGGAATATATGGCATAAGAATTTGAAACTTTTTCTTATACTTTTAAACTATAATATGGGAGTCACAATGACAGAACCAAAATGTAAATAAAATGGTACATTATGAGACACCAAGCACACACACATACATAAAACAACAACAAAACAAAAAACTTGAGTTATACTACAGAAATTCTTTGTAAGAAATTTATATAAAACATTTATAATCAACACATTTCTGAGGACCCACATTTCTTTTGAGAAAGATGGCTTACTTCACTTACATTTCTATCCAGGCCTGGTGGTACAACATCTGTAATTCAAGCTTAGGCAGGAGGATCAAAAGTTCAAGGCCAGCATTGGCTACAAAGAGCATTTTAGGACATTCTAGTCTACATAGAAAAACTCCATCACTAGCAAACAAAAAAAATTCGACTCATTTATTTTCAGTGTGAGAGACTGAATTCAGAGCCTCCAGATAGTAACCATGCACTCTATCACTGAGCTACATCCCAGCTCCCAAGCTTTTTTTTTTTTCAGTACATTCTATCTTCGGTTTTAAGTGGCAGTTAGTCTTTAAAACCATTTGGCTACTCAGTTTAACATGTCTACATAAAAACAAATAATATCAGGAAGATAAAATTATAGGTCTATACATTGATGACATTTTGAATTTTGAAATATTACAAGGCAATTCCATCTATACTTCTTTATTCTTCATATAGGGACATTCAACTAATTTGTAGATCAATGTATTTTTTCATTATTTATGGAAAATGTTAACACAGTACCTAGCTGAATACAGTCAGTATAGCCCTGAATTCACTTTCTGCCCTTGGCTCCTACTTTGTTGGGTTGAACCATTTTATGTTCTTAGTAGTTTGGATAGTTGTGTCTTTCCAGTAGCTTTCTGCTATGTCATACAACTAGCTTTGCTCCTTTCTTCTCATCCCCCCGCCCCCGCCTCCCTCCAGCCTCCTCTTCTCCCCTCTAGTCTCCACATCTCCACTGCTCTCTACACTCTTTTCTACCCTTTTCTCTTCCACTTCTCTTCTCCCTTCTCATTTCTTTTTCCACTGACAGTTCTCATGGCCCTGTCTCCCTGCCAGTACAAACATACCTGTCTCTCCTCTTTCAGCTTGGCCTAGAGAAGAACTGGCAAATGAACACATCCTGCATGGTGGAATGCCCTTTGAACTGTCAGCTTTCAGACTGGTCTCCTTGGTCAGAATGCTCTCAAACATGTGGACTCACAGGTTGGTTTGTATTACAATTAACAGTAGGCTAGCTGTCAAAGCACACCAAACCAAACAACTCTGTTGCTCTAAATGATATCAGGTGAGCTACGGAAAGTTGTCTTCTTTGTGAAAATGTGAGACTCTTGCTGCTCCAGGGACTCCTCAAGGGAGACATCTATGGTACTTTCAATAATATATCCATCTATTTGTACAACTATGACATCACACTGAAGTTGTATCATTCTATATCTCTAAAGGAAAAATGATTCGAAGACGAACAGTGACCCAGCCCTTTCAAGGTGATGGGAGACCTTGCCCTTCGCTGATGGAACAGTCCAAGCCTTGCCCAGTGAAGCCATGCTATCGTTGGCAGTATGGCCAGTGGTCTCCATGCCAAGTTCAGGTATCAGAACTCAGGAAGCTATGTGGATGCGGGCATTCTTCATCTGCTAAGACTTGGTTCTAGAAATATTTTTGAGTTAGAGATGGTCAGTTTCCTCATAAACATTCTAGTGACTTTGCCGCTTCCCAATCCTTTCATCAGTTTTGATAGCAAGCACCCCCTGTCCTGTACTTTTAAAATCATTTGGAGACTTATTCGTTTTAATGAAAATTTATTTGCCTGTCTTTGTCTAGGAAGCAAATAAATTGTTGGTTGTATGCTTTATAGCTTGTGCCCTATAAGGCTCCTTCCCTGGGGTTTCCAATGCTTCTCTAGCTACACATAAATCAAAATCAGTGATGCAGAGATGACTGTGAGCCATGAGCTCTCTAATTAATTATTTTTCTTTTTCTAATTAGCTGTTTCTCCCTCCATTCCAGGAGGCCCAGTGTGGAGAAGGAACCAGGACACGGAATATTTCTTGTGTAGTGAGTGATGGCTCAGCTGATGATTTCAGCAAAGTTGTCGATGAAGAATTCTGCACTGACATTGAGCTCATCGTAGATGGTAATAAACAGATAGTGCTGGAGGAAACCTGCACCCAGCCTTGCCCAGGTAACAACAGGACACAATTCATATTTTTAGATATCTTCTTAGAAACAGAGTTGTAGCATGAATCTTAAAAGTTCTTATTAATAAAATCAAACCTGAAGCTAGGTATTAGGGTGAATGCTGGAAGATCTGAGAAGCAAAATAAGCCACAGCTACCTCACCTCGCCAGTTCCTCAGCTGATCCTGTTTCCTCAGACTGGAAGCTTCTGAGTCCTCATCCAATTGAATCTCAGCTGAACTGTGCTGCTCAAAAGCCTAAAAGCTTAACCAGTTCTAGTTCCTGGTTTTCACACCTTATATACCTTTCTGCTTTCTGCCATCACTTCCTGGGATTAAAGGCTCACTTCCTGGGATTAAAGGCTTAAGTCACCATGCCTGGCTGTTTCCAGTGTGACTTTAAACTCACAGAGATCCAGATGGATCTCTGCCTCCCAAGTGATAGGATTAAAGGCGTGTCTGCCACCATTTTCTGGCCTCAATGTCTATCTAGTGGCTGTTCTGTCCTCTGACCCCAGATAAGTTTATTAGGATGTACAATATTTGGGGGAACACAATATCACCACACAGAGTCAAGAAGAGGTTAAGTATATAGTCCAAGTGAAGGGTGTCAACAATCTTATTCAGTACTAACCTGTACTAACAGCATAATGCCATACCTGTGGGTCAGAGAACCACTGCATTACTGCAGAGAATAAGATCTCAAATACCCTGAGCCACATCCCCAGCCCTCCACTATATGTCTTGAAAGGTAGATGAATTTGACACAGTAAGCTTTAAAGAGTAGACTATGAGTTAGGCAAAATATTTTTCCTCTTTGAAAGGTATGGTATAAATTTATTACCTCAATGGATCTGGTCAAAACATAAAAGTGTGTTTAATACCAGGAAGGCTTCACTCTCATATTGTTATTAAATCTTGACATGGATATTTCAAGATGATGATTATGTAATTGTAGCTAGAGTTTTCCTGCCTGGCCCACAGTCAGGACAAATCTCTGTCACCCGCCAGTCCCACAGCCGCTCAGACCCAACCAAGTAAACAGAGAGACTTATATTGGTTACAAACTGTATGGCCGTGGCAGGCTTCTTGCTAACTGTTCTTATAACTTAAATTAACCCATTTCTATATATCTATACCTTGCCACATGGCTCGTGTCTTACCGGCATCTTCACATGCTGCTTGTCATGGCGGCGGCTAGCAGTGTCTCTCTCACTCAGTCTTCCACTTCCCAGAATTCTCCTCTCTCCTTGTCCCGCCTATACTTCCTGCCTGGCCACTGGCCAATCAGTGTTTTATTTATACAGAACGATATCCACAGCATGTAATGAAGAGACTATAGCAAAATATAATTATTGGATTTCTCTGCAAATGCATGCTAATATCAAATAAAGATACATATAGAGATTAAGCCTACTTACACAAAAGGGAGATAGATTAAATTTCCATTCAGTTTGTAGTCACTTATACATTATACATTTGGCAGTATTATTTTTTTACTTTTACCCATACCAGGTTTTCCTGGTAAACACTGGGTAACCCAAAATGTGACATCTCAGAGACACAAGCATTTCTACAATTTTCTTAAATAATTTTGATTGTTGCTTTTTCTTGGCATTTTCAAACTGTACTATATTTTTTAAATAATATTTTCTTGATTCCTTGAGAATTTCATACAATGTAATTTAATAATATTTACCCCTCTGCTCCCCAACTGCTCCCAGATCTACCACCACCCCCACCCCTGGATCAACTGACTTCTATTATCTATCTATCTATCTATCTATCTATCTATCTATCTATCTATCTATCTTCTATCTATCTATCATCTCTCTATCTATCATCTACCTATCATCTATCTATCAATCTATCATCTATCATCTATCTATCTACCATCTATCTATCATCTATCAATTGATCTATTTATCATTATCTATGATCTATAATTTATCTATCATCCATCATCTATCACCTATTATCTATCTATCATCTATATATATATATATCATCTATATATATCATCTATCTATCTATCATCCATCATCTAGCTAGCTAGCTAACTATTATCTATATCTCCCTCTCCCTTTTCCTCTCACTTTCTCACTCTCACTCTCCCCTCTTCTCTCTCTCCCAATCCCTCCTCTATTTGTATCTCTAACTCCTTCCTTCTCTCCCTCTGTCCTTCCCTGTTCTCAAAATGGTGAAAGATGCTGGATACATGGATCGATCATGCAATTCTATTCCTATACATACACTCAACAAAATCACACATGTAACATATATGTTCAGCACAAGCTTATACTTCAATAGTCACAAGAGTTTTAAATTAGAACTATTTAAACATGTAATGGATCTTACAAACATGAGTGAGTGAAAATGGTAAATGCAAAAAGTTATATATAGTATATAATATGATTCCAGGAATAACATGATGGAGAATTTCTGAGGTTCTGGGAATGGTCTGTTCTTAACTAAATGTTGCTTGCATAGATATATAATCAGACTATAGACACTTGTTGTGGATTTTTGACATTTTGCAGGTACTGTGTGTTTTCCTCTAAGGGGATGTGGTTGATTGGAAATGTAGACATGAAGAAATAGCCAGTATCATTTCTTCTGTGTCAACTTCTCACTAGCCTGCCTCAGCCTGACTCCTCTAGGAAGAAAAAAAAATAATATATAATCACTGGCTATCTCATCCTGAACTTTAAGCTCACTTAAATTTATGAATACCTAGAGACAAGTTCTATGTATTGTTAGGTTTTACTAGCCCCCTTTATAATAACAACAAATGTCATGTTAGATTTTAGCCAAATACTATCTAACTCTTGGGAAATGATCACGATGGGCAAACTCCTTCAGGCCATAGCTTATGTTTTATAGCATTAAGATACCCAGAGACCAAACAGTCACTCCAAATAACATATTTACTACATATAAATGATAGTTATTGCTTATCCAAATATCATAAATATCATGTATAACTAGCATACTTACAAACATGGCCTAGCACAGTTGGAATCAAAATGAGTATCTGCATCACTGTTCCCTATGGGTATAAATTACCAACCTGTTTCTTACAGGTGACTGCTATTTGAATGACTGGTCTTCATGGAGTCTGTGTCAGCTGACATGTGTGAATGGTGAGGATCTTGGCTTTGGTGGAATACAGGTCCGATCCAGAGCAGTGATTATACAGGAACTGGAGAATCAACATCTGTGCCCAGAGCAGATGTTAGAAACAAAGCCATGTGATGGTGAGTGCTTCAATTCCTGATTCTATTCATTTGATTGTGTTCGATTTTCTGTTGAATGACTGAATTTGTTAGATTTATATTTACACTTCAGAATTAAATTACAAGTAATATTCTGAGGGTCCAAGGATGTGCTTCAATAGGTAAAGTGCTGGCCATGCGAGTATGAAGACCTGAGTTTGAATCCTCAAAGACTAAAGGCAGAGACAGCAGAATCTCCAGTAGCTTGAGAGCCAGCTAGCCCAGTGTACTCAACAACAACAAAAGACAGATTCTATCCCAAACAATGTGGATGACCAACAACCAAGGCTGTCCTGCAGCCTTCAGATATATGCCTCTAGACTCTATATGCAGAGAGAGAGAGAGAGAGAGAGAGAGAGAGAGAGAGAGAGAGAGAGAGAGAGAGAGAGAGAGAGAGACAGAGAGAGAGAGAGAGAGAGAGAGAGAGAGAGAGAAGGAGGAGGAGGAGGAGGAGGAGGAGGAGGAGGAGGAGGAGGAGGGAGCAAGGGAGGAAGCTTCTGGTTTTAAAATGTAGAATGTTGTAAAAATATTTCCTAGCTTTAACAATTGTAGAAGCCTAAGATAATTAGGATCATTGATTGTATATTTATAACACCTATGATCAAACACAAGTCTAATATTTTCCATTTGTCTACCAAGTGGAAACAAATAACAAAATTAAACACTTCAAAACCACAGTAAAATTAGACTCTTTAGCAGAGTTTAAGAAGCTGATTAATCAATTAATTGGTAAGAATTAGCAATTTTAACTTCACAATAATTGGACTAGAGCATCATGTGAATACATGGTCATGTGTCTATGCATGTATATGCATATACAGAAGCAGTCCTTCAATATTTGCTGCACACTCCATATCCAGAACCTCAGTGCATTATAATGTCACAGTTTTGACCATGGTGGCACCTTGACAACAACAAAGCACTTGGTATCTAGTGAAGAATATAAGGCACAAATTCTTAGCTTTGTTCTGTAATGGTTAAGAAATGTGACATAAAACAAATAACAAGTTAGATAGAAAAATAAATCACTTTATGTCAGAAAACTAGAGGATGAAACCTAAGATGCTGAGACCACATAGAATGAAAACTAATGAAGTAGATTGCTTAACCTAAGAATTAGGTAAAATTACCTACCTTGTCATATATATGTCAATATAACCTTACCAAATTTACCAACTACATAAAATATCCCTGATTCCTAGGACAGCAAAGAAGTACAGAAGCTTGTGGTTTACAAGTAATTAAATAAATCCCAGGTCACAGGAAAGAACTGTCATTCTTAAATGACAGTGAAGTAAAACTAGAAATCAATAGTACAACTGAAGAAGAAATCCTCTCCTACACACATGAGCAAAACCTGGAAGCCACGAAGATTGCCCCTGTAAGCTATTAGGGGAGAAAGAAGTGTTTGGAGGAGACTCAGAGACCTTGCATGGTCACATATGTGGGGAAGAGCAAAAAGAAGCTGCATATTTAAATCAAGAAATTTTATTTTTTAAGAGGAAGTAGATATGTGAGGATAAAAACTCAAGGAAAAAAAAAGAGACCATGAATTTGGCGAGTGGGAGAATGGGGAAATGGGAGGTTTTTCAATAGAAAAGACGAATAGTAAAAATGCAATAATTTTATTTTAATTAAATTTTAAAAATCAGGAAAAAGGAAGTGGTATGCAGCCTATATAGATAAATACAAATTGAATTAAGCAGAGAAAATAGACAGTCAACAGAAATAACAGTGTATCTTCTATGATGTGGGAGCCCATTTTCAGGTTCCTCGTGTCTTTACCCAGCAGGTCCACATAGAGAGGATGATTAGGACCATGGGCCTGAGTGCAGGTGTCTGAGAGGGTCTGCACTTGGCTGTGCTGGGGGAGGAGGTCTTTTGCTCCACCCCTTGGCGTCTCTATAAAAACCCTGGGGCAGAGACAGTCAGGGCTTGTTGGAACAGGTTCCAGGTCCTCTTGAGGCTATCCTTTATTTTCTGTTTATCTCCACAATCTAAATCCTTCTATCTAATATTTCCTGCTGCTCGAACTCAAGAAAACTCTGGGGAACTGTGGGGTTGGTGGGTAAACACCCCACACTATGACAAAGGAAGAAAATGGCCACTGCATAGCAAAGAGGTAAAGAAAAGAAAGCAAATTTGCATTACTAAAAATAGAAAACTGTTTGGAAAAAAATTCTATAAAGAAGTTTACTAATAAACATAAAAATGTAAATGAAGATAACTTAAGGTATTATTAATTTATCAACAGTAACAGAAAAGTTGTGCCATGGATGCTTTAACTAGTACAAATTCAAATGTATTTAATTTATATTCACATTTAATACAGCATAAAATGTGACTGGGTGCCCATGTACAACAAAAATCTGTAAGTCAAACTTGGGAGAAAATGTACATATTAATTCACTCAAATATATAAGTATTTGGAAGTAAAAAGAAAGTTTAGAAACATAATTTTTTAAACTAACATTAAAATAATTAGTCTTTATTTTCCAGGAAAATTCAATAATAAAATCTTTACTAGAAAAAAAAAAACTATACTTAAGCTGTACCTACATCTAACAAAAGTGGAGCAAGATATGTATTGAAAAACCATAAAATCCCAATGGAAGTGACTAAAAGACTAAAACATTGATGTAGTGAACCATTTCAGAAATGACTATCTGCAGTGGCACCCAGGAATTTGACATGCATTTACCTACAAATTCCATAAGATTTCAACGGGTTTTTAAGGCAATTAAGTGGATCCCATGGTTCGTTTGCAGGTATTAAGAAAAAAAAGAGCCAAGAAATTTTTTGAAAACAAAAATTATGAGAAAAGGCCAGGAGATTTCAATGGCCTTTTCTTATGACTCACACTATCTAAGCACTGGTAGAATTACTTGCCAATAATGAAGCAATCACTCTAGTAGGAAAGGATGGAGAATCATAGAGCAAACCCAGCCTTATACTCAGATATGTAGTTGAACATGGAACAGAGGTTCACTCTCTGCTGGGACATCAAGACAGCCTGGGCTTCCTGGTGCATACATTGATGCTCACTACTTAAAATTAATAACTCCTTCATTTTAGTGAGTAAAAACATGGGTGTCAATAAGAAATAAAACAGAAAGAAGTCACTTCGATTAGACGACATCCAAAACATTCTTTAAACTGTTTGATAACTTTAGTTATCAAGAATTTATTTTACTATGATAAGACAGACTTTCATACACCCAAGACTGGTTAAAAATAAATGTGTTATTCTAAGTCTTCCTGTGTGTAAAGAGAGACAGAGCAATAGAACCACTACTACAGTTGGATGTTCAAATGTTTGCCTTGTAGTGCACAAAGATGGACAGTATTTAGCAAAGACTCTGCTGTCTACAGTTATACCAGAGATTTCTCTTCTAGATAGTTATAAGTAAAAAAAGCACCAATATACTTGCCTCTGGGATGACCAACAAGGCATTTTTAATGGCAATAATTTAAAATAACATGACCAAAGAAAACACTGAATAAATTGTAATACATGATACAATGCAATTCTTTGTGTCAGTTAAAATTAATTGACTAGATCTACATTATAAATCACATTCAGATAGTTTATCGGTAACAATGACAAATAAAGTCCTGAATTACATATAAAACACAATGGACTGTGAAACCGTAATACTGAATAAAATGTTAATTTGAATAAAGTATTAATCTTATTCATTAATATTAAATAAGATATGCATATGTATATAGTAAAAACTAAAAACAATGTAGAAAGCAGTATATTTGCCTCAGAATGATATTGACTGGATAGGATCACAAAATGATGTTATACAGTAACAAGTTCTTAACTCATTTTTTTGATGATCAAGCAAATGAAAACTAAAGCAAGTATGGCTAAATGGTAATCTTTGTTAGAATTCAATTATTATCAATGATAAATAATTGAATATATTTTACAGTTAGTTACTTTCTGAATTTATCCATATGTTCCATGTTCCAGTGTATAAAAAAAAGTTTAAAACTTTGGAAGTAAACTGTAACATGAATTCTAAACAGTCTTTTAATAAAATCCTGGTGCCAGATATTGGGATAGATGCTGAAAGATCAGAGATACAAAGGAAAAAGCCACATCTTACCTCTAGGACTCCTTAGCCTGAAAAAGCTTCCAGCTGAAAGGGATGCTTCTGCCGAAAAGCCTTTAGTTCCTGTCTCCTCATGTCTTATATACCTTTTTCTGACCAGTCTTCACTTCCTGGGATAAAAGACATGTGTGCTTCCCAGTACTAGGATTAGAGGTGTGTGCCACCACTGCCTGGCTCTGTTTTCTCTCCTAGACTGAGTCAATCTCGTGTGGCTTTGAACTCGCAGAGATCCTGATGGATCTCTGCCTCACGAGTACTAGGATTAAAGGTGTGTGCCACCACTGCCTGACATCTATGTTTAATCTAGTGGCTTGTTCTGTTCTCCAATCTTCAGGCAAATTTTATTAGGGTACATAATATATCACCACAGTAAACCATAAATTACATGTCCAGGATCTGTCACAATAGCAGGACAGATTAGTGGGGACATTAGTAGGGACCTATGTTAACAACTGCAGTTTTATCAAATTTTTTCTTGCAACTTCTAGACAGATCATTGACATTGTCATCCTCAGCAATAGACTTCATGTCACCTTTCACTTGTTCATACATTCATTAGTAATACTCTCTCATGATGATCCTGAGTAATGAAACATCAGTGCTTACTCTATGCCTGCAGATGGACAGTGCTACGAGTATAAGTGGATGGCGAGTGCTTGGAAGGGCTCCTCTCGAACAGTCTGGTGTCAAAGGTCAGATGGTGTAAATGTAACAGGTAAACCATCAATATCTTGTTTTTCTGAATTTATTCCTGTAACACATATGTAGTTGAATTCTGGAGGACATTCAATTGTTAACACATTGTTGGAATCAAGAAATTTGTGTTGTACACATGTGTGGTGACCAGTGACAAATTGTTTTATTTTAAAATATGTCACATTCTCTCTTACCTATTACCTTTGGACATTAGAATATATTTATTTGAAATACTGCTCAATACTAATAAATGAATATAAGTGATTTCCTGATTTTTCCCTAGAAATTTTGTACATTAACAAATTACTATATACAAAGAAAATCATAATTGTATGCTTTGAAGATGATACAGATCAAGGTAGTATGTATATATTAACACAATCTACCTGAATTATCAAAGCTATTATTAAGTCATTTTGTTGATTAATAAGAAAGATTTATCAGTAAATTCAAACCCAGGGCATCTGAGAGGGACATTTGCTATGTCCCCATCACAAACAACTATTATACTTCCAAAGAAGAAAATCAAAGGAAGATTTTTCAAAGATAGCTCCAGTAGAATCCTTTAATTTACAAGTTCTTTGTATGAGCTCAGTGAAGTCAAGAGCTCATTCCAAACACCTATTAAAGGGAAAAATTCAGGCTGAATATGTATTGAATAGCCTGCAAATTTCATAGGGAAAAAATCAAGGTCAGAGACAGAACCTCAACTTCAGACACATAAACACAAATTTAAAATGTTTTTCCTTAATTATCATTTTAAAATAATTTAGTTGTTAGGAATCTCCATATCAGAGGCAGGATGGCTGTTGACTGTCAGCTGCCCAGGTACCTGTGACTTGGGCCTCTTGTTTCAACTCTTCTGCAAGCAAAGCAAAGTGGTATGCATCGGGGTGCCCCTGAGTAAATCATTTGTGATTTAACTTTCATATATACAGTGAGATCATAGGACCCAGCCAGGATCAATGTGCTTCTTGGAAAACATCAATTTTTATATTGAATTTCAAGTGACCCAGGTTTATTGAAACCTAATTACTTATTTCTTCCCTATGAAAGCCAGAACAGAATGTCAAATTATATTCTTATGAAGACAGGATTTTTCATGAATAAAAGCTATACCAAGAAACCTTTGATAATAGCATCTCCCAGTGGACATATAATATATAGTAGAAAACCCTCCTACCAGGAAGCTCTTTGCAGTCTCACCAGTATTATTTGGTGAAGGAAAGCAATCAACCCAAACTCCATTCTAAGAGGAATGGGTGATAAAAAGCACAAACAGAGAAGTATAGCCATTCCAAACCAGGTGCTTCAAATGTCATTCACTTAGCTCAGATCCGGGGAAGGAATGTGTCATTCTTGAAGTGATTCTGAAGGAAATTAATAGTTTCCTAAAAGGTTCTACTTGATAGAAGGTTTTTTGCAAATATAGAGGCAAATAGTATCTGTCTGCTTTTACTTCTAACACTATTGTTTTCCTACTGCAACTGAGACTATTCCCCAAATCAACGTTAAGTTGAAATTTAAAGTCATCAGTATAAATCACATTTTAAATTTATTTTCAATACAATCAAGTGTATACACAATTCTTTTTGTCTGTTGCCCAGAAGTCAATGTGAAATGACTTATGATAAACTCTAGATGCATTCTTCTTCCACCGTTTAGATGGTTTTCTCTATGAAAACAAATGTAAAGTACATTATCTATGTGGATCAATTGCTTTAATTGATAGATCACCTCTGTAAGAAAGCCATGGGACTGCTTTCTTTTCTCTTCACATGTGTAGTAATAGATAGTATGCTCACTAAACTGCAATTACCTTGCAATGACTAACTGCTTTTGTGATGTGATAGTTTTTGTTTTATCTTATTTTATTTATGTTGCTGTATTTTTAAATATGAAAGAATGAATGAATAAAAACCTTTTTTAAAAGGCATTTATAAGATTAAAAGAAAAAAAAGAATTGATGATGGGAACCTGGATTGAATCCCAAAGACTATGAGCTCAATAAGGAAAATCATTTGTTTGGCTAAAGTTTTGTTAAGCTGAGTATGTATAGTTTGAAACTATGAGTCACACCTATATCACCAATATTGTTTCTTTAGGGCAACTGCTTCCATCTTTAAAGTGCAACACCAGGCAATGCACAGTATGTATTGTACGAGAGAAATAAACTAGAAGAATTAATTTCAATGGCAAGTTGGAAAATAGCTCAAGCAAAAGACTTGCTAGTTACATTGGTCTTCTTCCCAGCAACCATAAATATCTGGAGTTAACAACAAGAATCGTGATTTTCCTTAAAAATAAATATGTATTATAATAAACACCTTTGTGTAATGGTCAAATAAATTGAAAAGTTGCTTTGAGGGATGTGAAAGCTACCATTTTGAGTAGCCAAGAAAAGTATTTAACTATAAAATAAAATGAAATCTCTTTTGGTTTTGTTTTTCAATTGCTGGGCTTGGCTTGAGGAAATAGGTTATATGACCTATTTTTTTTCTGGCCATTATCGGAAAGAGGTTATATGAAAGTAGTGTTTCAAAAATAGCAGCTACAAAATCAGGCCCTTGGCAGTGTGTCTTGGATACTTAAGAAGCACAAGCCATAATGCTGTCATCTGGGTACAAAGTCCCAAGTTACTAATGAAAGTGATGGAGGTTAGCCAGCTGTTTTGAAAGTCCAGAACTTCTTGGAACTTCCAAAGTGGTTCAAACTTCCAAGACAAGTCTATAACAATATATATGTTTATCACACCAAGAGGAACCATTTGTTAAAATATGATTTTCTGTTCTGCAGGTGGCTGCTTGGTGGTGAGCCAGCCTGATGCTGACAGGTCTTGTAACCCACCCTGTAGCCAACCCCACTCATACTGTAGTGAGGTATGTGCACATTCATTAAGATGGACAAGCTACCTCCATCATTTATCACCCTGCTGTCTCTGGTGCAGTCCTAAAAAAGCCTTGACTGGAGGCAGGAATGATCCACTTCTAAGCATTTCTTTTTAACTATGTGGACAACTCTCGATGCACTTCATTTATTTACCTCTAGAATGACTTTGCACAGTAGCATGGGGAGGCGGAGTTAACGTAGCTAAGATGAAAATTGCATGTTGTAAATTCTCTTAAAAATGTTTCCTAGTGCTCCTTTTCTGAATAAGCTTAGTTATGGTTTCCAAGATTGCATCTCATCTTGGATGGAATATAAACCTCCCTGTTCTCCTGCAGATGAAGGCATGTCGTTGTGAAGAAGGGTACACTGAAGTCATGTCCTCCAACAGCACCCTTGAGCAATGTACACTTATCCCAGTGGTGGTGATTCCCACTGTGGAGGACAAAAGAGGAGACGTGAAAACCAGTCGGGCAGTTCACCCGACCCAACCCTCCACTAACCCAGCAGGACGGGGCAGGACCTGGTTTCTACAGCCCTTTGGACCAGGTGAAGCAACCAGACACTGAACACAAAATTCTTTACTTAGACATTCCATCAATAACAATGCCACAAGATTTTTTTAATAACGAAGCATTTTCAAATTAATGATTATTTCTTAACCCATTTACTCATTTTAACATTGCAGCTATCTTTATGTCATTTTACTTTCCTTGTTGAAAGAAATACCCATGTCCCAAATACATAGAAATAAAATTACTTTCTTCAGAAAAAAAATTAATATTGATATCACTTATCTAAAACCTAGACCTAAAGTTGTAAGTATAATAAATAAACATTGAATAAAGCTATGTAATAATGAAAATAATTAGGAAAAATGTGTTTTCACTTACAACAAGGACAAATAAGACTATAAAGACATTTGGAGTTTTCAGCTTAATATACAGAGTCTGTGGTGTAAACATTCACAAAGAGCATGACAATTGCAGTTCCATGCCAAGGGCACTCGGATGGTAGAACAATAAGTAGCATCCCCAAAGTTGGTGTTCACAGATGCCTCAGAATCCATAGTAGTGCAAATATACAGAGGTAGTAATGGAGCCTTCCTTTCTTGATGGAATGATCCAAACTTGGATGCTGACCAGACCATTGTCATGTTACAATAGACACTCTTACTATATCCAGGAAAGGACTTGAATCCAACACGGGCATAAGCCTGCAGGCTTGAAGAAGTGCTACTCTCTACTTTGCACACTTTCTCTCTAACTGGAATAGATAGTACACTCCTGTCTCCAGGTACATAAAGTGCCCCACTAGTGCTCCACACACAACATGGAATCTGCCTCTTTCTTTCTCACCATGGAGAAGATCCATGCCAAGCTAGACATAATTAACTACATAATTCCATTAGAAACATGAGAAATGAAAGAAGAAATTTGCATATCTAGCATTCCTCTGTTTATGATCCGTTAAGTAAAAGTATTTCCCTTATGAAAGAACCAATATTGAATTTTGAAGGTGTTTTAAATATCTGGGTGATTACCTTTATCCATATAATCACTGCTTTTATTGGATTCTTAGCTGAAAATACAATTGAATTTTGAAAAGCTGATTTGTCTGTAAAAATGGTAGAAACTCTCCTTTCCAAGTCAGGAGAACAAATTATCATTTAGCAATTTTGACCTTAAGCAGATCTCCACAAATGAGAACAACTTTTCTCAATTTAAATACAAGTATTCCTTCCACTTTGTTTAATAATTTCCCCCAAAATGAATATATTAAAATAGTAAAGAGGTACATATTCTGACTAAAGACATTCTTTGTTTTTGAATATTTGTTAAGTAATATTCACAGCAAAGAAGCCTAGTAGTAGAAGAGACCTTTTGATTTTAAACTCATTCAAAAAAGAAAGAGAGAGAGAGAGAGAGAGAGAGAGAGAGAGAGAGAGAGAGAGAGAGAAGAAACAAGGAAAAAACACTTTTTAAATCTCCAGGTTTAAAAGGAAGTGATTTTTGGAGTATTAGCTGAATTTATTTCCAACAACTGGACCTCTAATGAACAACATACCTTGTACTAATCAGCATTTGATACTTTTCAAATATTTGTTAAGTCTCCATAGGGTCATTTTTGTCAGCATCTAATTTTCATACTCATATCATATCATGATATGAGTATTTTCTGCATGCTTGTATGTACATATTGACTACATGCTTAAATGTAGATACAGACTATGTATGCTAATGTTAGCATCAGATTAAGTTAGGCAATATCATCCCGAGCAACGCATGTTTGAAGTTTACTCAGAGCCTAATGCTTCAAGGATGAAGAAGTCCCAAAACTGAACTAGAATAATGTCTGCCACCTGTGATTGCACATATCAGAAAAGTTTGCAAAGGGACATTTAAAAATCCTTTCCTATGTTATTTTATGTGATTATCTCTGCAAATTCTATTAATTGTCAAAGCACAGTACAAGTATAGATGAGATAAAAGATTTATTTACTAAACAAATAGTAAGTATGTTAAGTTTCATCTGGTACAAAACTGTTGAAATCACAGTGAATTGTCAAATACCCACTGGCATCCACTCCAGGTTTTATGAATTGCTCAAAAGCTGCATTATTTTTTATCTTTTAAATATACCATGCCTGAAATAGGTGGAAAAGTCAAAGCATATGTGAATAGAACAATGCACATAATGAATTTGAGATAAGATTTCATATAAAGGGTTTAAACTTGAACTCAGCATCTGAGCATAAACACAATTTGTTTGCTTTTCAACTGTTTCCATTGCTAATTCCCCTTGAATGCCTTGCTGCCTAACTCCTAGTAACTGCTCTACATTAGTGGTAATGGTGCTAGGAAATAACTCAAATTGAGTCTTGAACAGAACTGGTCATATATGACTGATCATGGGTCACAGCTCAAACCTGTCATATATGATCTAGATTAATGTAAACTAATAACTAATATCTGTTCTTCTTAGATGGGAGACTAAAGACCTGGGTTTATGGTGTCGCAGCAGGGGCAATTGTGCTGTTAGTCTTCATTGTCTCCATGATTTATCTAGCTTGGTGAGTTTTTAAATATTTCAGAATCTAGAAGGATATATATGATTGTTATTTCAAAGAAAACCCTTTCAGTTGCCAGACACAGGAACAGACTAGTGTGTGTGGAATGCATATGATGTACTCACTGCATGTTCACACAAAGTTCTGAATTTCAAACATAAACTTTAAGATTAGAGAGCCTGAAATCTGATTTCCATGTCTGAGTCATTCAGATTGCGGAAATGAGTCAGGACTGTTCTAGGTCATTTTTTTAAAAGATTTTTCTCATGAATAAATGACATAGAATGTTGCTTTTCATGAATGGTATGTAATATATATTTTTATATTGAGTTTTTCCCTAGAGGAAGACATTATGATAATTCTTAATCTTATTTAACTGTATTTGTAAATGTACATTATTTATAAAAGTTCCTGAACAAACTCAAAATATACTATATCATCACTTCTATTGTTATCAACTAAGAAACTGATTAATTTGGCTTTTACAAAATAGTTAAATACCCTAACACAGCCTCTTGGAACTGTGAAACTCAAAAAGACCACAAAGTCATATTCTAAAAGGCAGTGTGGAAAATAGGCAACTTAGATTTACCATTTTGTAAATGCTTTTTAATTTAAAGCAATAATACTTAACATGAAAGGCTGACTTTCTTTCTTCAATGTTTCCTGAATTTCCTACAGCAAAAAGCCAAAGAAACCCCAAAGACGACAAAACAACCGCCTCAAACCTTTAACCTTAGCATATGATGGAGACGCCGATATGTAACATTGAATATTCCTGGAAACAACCAAGCTTGGCCTTTTGCCTTTGAGTAGACATCCAGGGGCCACAGTGCCAGTATTCAAATTATGAATTATAATTCACTTTAACTGTTATGAACACTATCATTAAGAAAAAAAGGAGAAAGCCCTACTCCCACTGGGAACATTCAAGACAGTGCCACTGACATATAGAGTCAACCTTGAGAATTCTAGGAGATGAAGTGGAATGCATGTTGTGTCTTGAGAGTTTTGTATCATCTTTTCAGAAATCCACCAATTGGAAAAAAAAAACACTTTTGGTTTCTAAAAAGCAGTGAGGAAATTGGCCAATTTGGAAGCCAGATGCAAGACTGCTTACAGCACTAACCCACAGAACTTTCTAGCATGAAGAGTTCATAATGAAGGCTTTTCAATTCTACACTTAAGTATAACAACATGTATACTCAATCAAATGACTTACAATATGATGTCATCTTATATACTTGTTAATAATCAACTTTTAACAGTAAAGAAGACATAAGCCCTATGCTAGATGAAGAACCCATTGAACAATTTAGCATCTTCATGGTTGATGGTAGCTTTTATTGGCCTGCATTTCAGAGACAAACTGTTTTTATAAGACTATTCTTGTCTCTCTCCAATGTATGAATGCTGGACATGTACTAGGACCTTAGAAGACAGAATCCTCAAGTTCGGTATTTTATAGCAGTTATTGTCTAGAAAACAAATATGCTTGTGTTAATACATTTCTACTTTCCCTAATTTCACACTGGTTGCCTACATCTTTTTTGCTATATGGAAGGCACATTTTGCACTATATTAGTGCAGCATGATAGGCCCTTAACCAGTGTTGCCATAGAAACTGCCTCTTTTCATATGGGATGAAGACATCTGTGCCAAGAGTGCTGTGGAGACATTTGCAAGCTTTTGTTCTCTGAAGAGAGTTAGTTCAGTCTTGATGGTAACAGGATCGAATCTGCTATGACATCTGCTGTCTGCACTCTCCCTTCTCACTACGGCCACTATGAAATTGACAACATGGCAAGAGTTCAAGTGCTGAAATCCCTAACCATCAGCCTCCCAAAGGTGGAACCCCCTGGTTGGGTTGCAATTGCTCTTGGAAGGCTGTTTCTGATGAGATTTATATATTTGTTATCTTTGTTTTAAAAAAAAAAAAAAAAAAGAAGAAGAAAAAAGAAAAAAGGACTGGTTGTCGTCATGATTTTGAGCACATGGAGAAAATGGTGTATCAGTGATTTTTTTCTAACAAAACAAATCAAAGTTAGGTGTGAGCTTTTCTTTCTTCCTAATTTGCTTTCTCCGTGTGAGGTTGGCATTCTGTCAGGTAGGCCGTATTTCCCAGTCATGGCCTTTTGCCCTTCTCATGGCTGAAAACTGAAGTAGCATGATGTTAAAACCTAAAATTTAAAAAGAGAAGAGTGAAGGATCTCATCCAGAGCTTGCTTAAATATCTAGAGAAAGGGTTCCAAGCTTTTTAAGCAGAAGATCAAACAGGACATGTTCTCAGTCAGGTCTGTAGTTGAGCTCACAACACTGTGACTGTGCAATGTTGCCAGAGAAGATACTCAGCGGGAAAAACAGTGACATCACTGTTTTCCAGTACAGCTTCCTTTCAACAAAAACCAACAGGCTATATTTACATGTCTTAGTTTGCGGACCCACCTTACACTCTAGGAGTTTTTTGTTTTGTTTTGGTTTGGTTTTTCGAGACAGAGTTTCTCTGTGTAGCTTTGTGCCTTTTCCTGGAACTCACGCTGTAGCCCAGGCTGGCCTCGAACTCACAGAGATCCACCTGCCTCTGCCCTAGGAGCTTTTTTAGAGCTAGCTCTACATTATATAGTTGCTAGTTTTAGGTTGTTTACTCTCTGTCTACCAGATTTAATCTCACAGGTCACAATTTATAGTCATTACTTATGATTGCTTCGGACATGGCTCTATGTTCACTGGTATAGCCCAGGAATTGCCACTATGGGATATATCTCCTTTCTTCTATAAAGGAAGTTAAACTATAACATGAAAAAAAAAACAGTCACATATTTCTGGCAGTAACTACTACAATTAGCCTCTGATAGGGACCATTATGCTTTCCAGTCTTTAAAACACAGTAAACACCTTTTGGGTTTTGTTTTGTTTTGTGTTGTGTTGATTTGTTTTGTTTTGTTTTGTTTTGTTTTTAATCTTAAACGTGTCTGTATTGCTGGAACTGTGGTTTGGGTGGTGAGGTATTTGCCTTCATAGACTGAGCATGAGCTCCCTCTGCTGTCCATTAGAACAGCCTTTTCTGCAAAGATTACAAAAGAATTCTGAGTAAGAGGATGTTGTCATCTCCCAAACGAAAATCTTTATATACAATTCAATATGAAAAAATGTGATAATGTTTCTTATTTATTCCAAATGCAAGGCTTTAGATAATAAATGTCATTTCAAAGAGAGCAGATGGGAGGGTGAGTTTCACTTTAAGCCAAGGATTTAGTTGAGGTAAAACATGAAGAGGAAGAAAAATAATATTGTTATTCTAAACCTGTGATTGCTCTCTCTCTCTCTCTCTGTCTCTCTCTCTGTCTCTCTCTCTCTCTCTCTCTCTCTCTCTCTCACACACACACACACACACACACACACACACACACACACACACACATACACACACAAAAAAAAATCAGAGGTCTTCCAAATAATCCTCAAGTTTATCTCTTTGGTTAAAATAAGCTCTGTCTGTCCAAAATATTTGAAACAAAATCCATTGTGATTAGGTGAAAAATTTTAACAATCTGATGAAATGTGGGCAACACCTAGCAATCTTGAGATGGGGAATAAATTTTTTTTCTTACACAAGCAACATTTAAGGTATTTTATAAAATGCAATTAATTATAAAGACAAATCAGTGTTCTCCTACCTGGGACATAATAATAAAATAAGTTAAGACATCAAAAGTTATAAAATATTGTGAAGATGGAAGATGTTTATGAATAAATAATTATATTTAAAACACTACATTAATGTTGGAGACACATTGGGTATTCAGTATCAGGATAAATCAATACTACATGGATTCTTGTTAGAAATGTGGAAAATAAAATGTATCCATTTGGATAGTTTGGACAAAGAGTAGGTTATTATAATCATGTATAGATGGCTTTATTGAGTTTATAGGGAAATAAATACCGGAATTTCACCAGAACTTTATTCTCTTGGTTCATGCAATAATTCAGGAGGTAAACAGTAAAACTTCTCTGTTGACCCCTTTGCCTTTCCAAAACAGTCTGTGGGCAGGAATAAAAGGAGAGGGAGACATAGAGGGAGGTAAAGAGGGAGAGAAGAAGGGAGGGAGGGAAGGAGGGAGGAAGGAAGGAAGGAAGGAAGGAAGGAAGGAAGGAAGGAAAGAAGGGAGGGGAAGGGGGAGATTTTCTCCTGGATTTTAAAAAGAAAGGACAAATGCAGACATCTATAGAATTTTGCTGGACTGCCCCAGGAAGTGTGGCATGGCTGATATTCCATGAAAGGGACTGATTTGCCTATTCGTCAGTGCCCATCCAATATACTGACTATAAATAAGCTCTATTTCAAAGCTGTTTTGAGTGTAGCTTAAGCTAATTGAAAAGGAGTACGTTAAAGCATGTCTTTAATTATTTATATAGTAAAGCACAAATTATTTATAAGAAGAAATATCTATTGAGTTATCACATGTAAGACACTCAGCTGGGCACTTAATATTAGTAACGACATTTGTATACTTAGGTTGCTAAGACATGCAAAAGAAAACCATGCTTCATGAGAGGCACTTGCATTGGAACACATTACCATAGATTCTAAGTGTGCTTAGTCTTTTTCCACAGGGGCTCTAACTTTCAAAACATGCTGTAAGGGGTGGCAATGGTCACAGTGGCTTAATCAGAACTGTTAAGTCCCTGAATATTTCAAGATAAAGTCATTGCTTCTGTAGGAAGAGAGCAGCACTTCCCATACATATGTTTACCTCCTCTGACTTACTGTATCCCTGGTTCTGTGTGATGCTTTTCTCTGCCTAGTCTCTCTAATTCTACCCTCCTATTTGTTGCTACAACCTTGTCTACTTTTCTCCAAACCACACTTCACTAAATATGCCCAAAATTTGATAAGGAAAAGTGAAGCATATTTATTAGCTCTTCCTATTGAAACACAAACGTCAATTAGATTGTAAACATTTTTATTTCAGTGGACTGCACTTATCAAAACAATGAATAAAGAGTAAAGAAGAGCCATGTAGGTGGCGTGCCAAGAGAAGAATAAAAAGAAAGTCTTCAGGGTGAAGATGTCAATGTCTGTACTTACATTGTTACTAGACAGTATCCTCTTATTCCCCCTATTTTCATCTAAATCTTTGTTCACTTCCTACTTCACACAACAGGGAAAAAGTCTAAATCTATCCCTAATGAGCAGAAAAGAGAGCCCCTTTCTAGGGAGAGTCCAAGTCTGAATAGATTTGCAGAAATCATGCTTGCCAGATGTCCTGGAATCTCGTTATCTGTAACGTTCCCGAGTTCAGTTCAAATGTGTTTTGTCAAGTTTCCCCTTTAAGACTGAGGGAGGAGGCAGCCAGCAGCCCCTGAACAAGTCTCTAAGAGCTCTTGCAGAGCATGCTTGAGCACTCAGGGTCGAGTCTGGGTGTGAGAACAGACTCTCCCTGCTCCCCTTGTGATGGTACCCAGCCACCCTGCCAGCCTTCCTGCCTTCAGATGTCCTGGCTCAGGTCAGGGATTCGGGCTCCTAACATTGAGGTGTGGACCCAGCAAGTGGCTTTTTCTTTGTTTTTATATTTCTTTTTTGGTTTTTTTTTTTTTATCAATAAGCTATTTGCAATGATAAAAATCATTCTTGTGTAACAAAGACAGTGGGAAGTGCTTATGTCTGTAATATTAAATTAAAAAATGTTAAACAAATAGAGTTAAATTTGCATTTTTATTCTGTTCTGTCAAGCCAGACCAGAAACCTGGAAACATCTGAAGCAAGCCACCTTGTCAGTGGGCCAAAACCTACTTTACTTAGAACATAACTGACTATAAGTTTTATTGTTCTGTTTTGTAGTTGTTTGGGTTTCTTTTCTTTGTTTAAGTATAATTTATTTATTACCTAATTTGGGGCCTCAATAAGCTCCCTGGATAATTTGTTTTTTGTTTTTGTTTTTTTTTAATCAAACATTTAGACTCTCTTTTAGTACATTTTCCTGTCCCTTTTTATCACAGAATTTTTGACGATATCAGTAGCCATTACTGTAAAGTATAATTTTATTAAATTTGTAATCAATCTTTCTTTAAATTATATTGCTCTAAGTGGGTATACTTTTGTTAATTTAACTACCTGAATATTTATTTTGCTAGAGTAAGGAGGCAACTGTCTGTGAATCTTTTGTTAATATTTCTTTGTAAATTGTGTAATGTAATTTATTTTAAATTATGTATACTTATTTTTTAATGCACAAGATATCTATGTACAAGTAACTGCAGACTGGCAAATACTGTCACTGAGCTTTGTGCAGCTAATGTGGATGGCGTGTGGAGATGTAATGTGCTTTTCTACATTTTCATATGGGTTATTTGTAAATATCTATATTGCTGACAGACATAAATCGGAAGTCATTTTCATTCTAACTGTGTGGGTCTGTGCTTTTATTTGCTTCATCTGCTTCTGATGTGTGGATAAAAACATTTATTTAGTGAACATCAAGTTTTTTACCTTTCTTTGTTTTATTTTGTCACCTTTTGCAATTCCAATATATAAAGCTTGGGAAATTAAGATTTCGCTTTAAAAGTCAACCAAAGAATGGATAAAGAAAATGTAGTACATTTACACAATGGAGTATTACTTAGCTGTTAAAAAGAATGACATCTGGAAATCTGAAGGCATATTGATGGAACTAAAAAAAAAAAAATCATCTGGAGTGAGGTAACTTAGACCCAGAAAAACAAACATGGTATGTAGTCACTCATAAGTGGATATTAACTGTAAAGTAAAGGATAACCATGCGACAATCCACAGACCCAAAGAGGCTAGGTAATAAGGAGAACCCAAGTGGGGAACATGTGGATCTCCCTGGGAAGGGAAAATAAAAGAGATTTCCTGGGTGAACTAGGGACAGGTGGACATGGGAACTAGAGGGGTCTGGTAAAGAGATTGATGGAGGGGGAGAGTACTGAAAGAGATGAATGGAAAGGAGGGGGCATTTCAGGGTCAGGTAGAAACCTGATACAAGGGAAACCCCCACGAATCTATAAGGATGACCCCAGCTAAGACTCCTAACAATAGTGGATACTTAGTCTGAACTGGCCATCTCCTGTGATCAGATGGGTGACTACCCCTGTTGTTATTAGAGAGTCTTCATCTAGTAACTGATGGAAACAGATGCAGTGACCCACAGTCAAACATTAGCCCAAGCCTGGGGAATCCTGCTGAAGAGAGAAAGGATGGATTATAGGAGCCAGAGGTGTCAAGGACATCACAAGAAAACCCACAGAAACAACTAACTTGAGCTCATAGGAACTCACAAAGTCTGAACCAACAACCAAGGAGCCTGCATGCGACCGACCTAGAGTCTCTACATTCATGTGACAGTTGTATAGCTTGGTTTACATGTGGGACTTCTAAAAACCGGAGCAGGGGCAGTCCTTGATGCTTAAACTGGATTGCCTTGCCCAGCTTAAATACAGGGGAGATGCTTAGTCTTGTTGCAACTTGATATGCCATGCTTTGTTGATACTCATGGGAGGTCTGCCCTTTTCTGAACAGAAACAGAGGATGAGTGGATTGCGGAGTGAGGAGAGGGGAGCTGGAGGGAGGGAATGAGAGGAGGGGAGGGAAGCAAAAATACAGTTGGGATGTAAAATAAATTAATTAATAGTTTTTAAAAAGTCAGTTGATGAGACTACCCAATGAGTCGCCATAGTCCCAAGACCTCTTGATAGTTGGTCATTTACAGGACATGTCAGAGGATGGGTGAACACCGCAGCACAAATGGTATCTCTTCTTGCTTCACAGTTTAAGACTGTGTCTACCCATAAAAAGCCAAACCTAAAAGGCTAGATTTTCTGTGTAGTTCCTGTTTAGCGCACTCACCTCTCTGTTGTGCTCACCTTGGAGCACAGTACTACGCTGTCCTGATGAGGCTGGGTCACAGTCTGCTATTAAAACCATGGTTTTCAGAATGTCACACCCATTACCACCTCCACCTAGAAGTCTTCACTTTATACAGCAGCTCCCTGCTTCCTGAAGGACTCCAGTCATATGCCCCCTCTTCTGAGAAGCTTGCCATGATGACCATAATCACTCTACCTTCATACTTTCTTCACTTTCCTTTCATCATTGTGGTGATATTTTATTTGTGTGGAAATGTGGTGATATCCTATTTGTATTTATATGTTAATAAATAAAGTCTTTCCTGGAGATCAGAGGAAATAGCAAGCCATTTTAAGTAAACATAAAAGTCAGGCAGTGGTAGCACACGCCCTTAATCCGATCACTTAGCAGGCAGAATCTCTGTGTGTTCAAGGCCATACTAGGGAACAGAACTAAGCATGGTGACACATGCCTTTAATCCCAGTACCAACCATAGAGACCTGGAGGTCTGTACAGACAGGCAGTGACAAGGAAGTGAGGTAGCTGGGCTAAGAGCCAATGAGAGGGCAGAACAGCAAGGCAATAAAGGTGAGGGTAAGACAGGAAGTAGCTCACATTTGGAAGCTGTAGAGCTGGAGAGGTAAGGTTGGCCGGTGGCTATTCCTATTTCCCTGATCTCTAAGGCTTTCACCCTGTATTTGGCTCCATGTTTTATATTTTATAAAACCATTTAGAAATTCTTCCACAAGTCATTGTTTTCCTAATTTCCATTATTATCTTTTTTTTTTTTTTTTTTTTTTTTTTTTTTTTTTTTTTTTTTGCTTGCTGATGCCTCTACCTCCACTTCTACACACAAGAGAAGCCAGTTACTATCTGTTTTATTCCTTGCTTGGAATGATGCTCAACACATAGTAAGAATAATAAATTAGTGAATGGCTAAGTAATGAAATTAACTAGTGAGCTACAAAGTCAATGGATAGCGCATGACTGAGCACAAATATCAGAGCAAGAAACAAAGAGGACACTAGGCATAGGAGACTGAAGAATTTATCCAAAACTGCAAGGTATCAGTGCTCCATATGAAGAGGTGGCAGGGGTTGCGAGACCAGAGAATTCCAAGTTTGTGATACTCTACTGTCGAGAACACTCTTTGTTTCGTATTTCCACTTGCCTTCGGTGTGTTGCATGAGCATGACGTGGTAGAAACAGAACAGAGGCAGATCAGTGGAAGCTGGCATGGCTGAGGCTGGCACGGCAGAGCAATGAAAACCCAAGACTATTCCAGTAATATGGGCAGTGTCCTTGATCTCAAAACCACGGCGAAAACAAGGGCTGGAAGGAGAGTTCTATTGCGCTTTCCCCTGGGGTTTAACTCAAATGCACTTGTAATCCCACTGTGGCTGAGTCAGAGAGCTCAGAATACCGGAAAAGGAGGGGCAACTGAAAATTAAAAAAAAAAAAAAAAGCCTGTATTCCAGACTATAAAAGAAGTCTGATTATACTATTCAGTCTTAAACTAATTTTTTATGTTAGTAATAGTTAAATTATGTGCTATTCATTTCAGTGCAAAAGACAGTAGAAAAACAACAAAACAAAACACTGGGCCAATCAAAGCGGTTCCCAGACCCTCAGATATTGCTTGGGATGTGTAGAAAGGGGCATTCAGCAACCGTGAAGCACTCTAATAAGCCAAGGAATAGACCCGGGGAAGCAAAATGAATTTCAGAATGAGAGTCAGCTGGTCAGTCCAGAGGCTGGTGTGGAAGACAAAGCGTGTGTTAAGGAAGAGTGAGAGACCACATCTGTTTTTGTAAACACAGTGAGTTGACAGAGAACCCTGTCAACCACATCCCCAGTGACCCCCTCAGCTGCTCTGCTGACAGCTGAGGGGGTCACTGTTCACTTCACCATTTATCTCTGTGAAAGGGCTCCGTGTTCATAATTGCCCACGGGGTTCTTCTTCCCAATATTTATCACATTGCACTGTTTCTTCACCAAAGGGTTCTGGTCCCTTCTGATGACACTGTCTTGCTTCTGTGGAGTGTGGCTTGAAGAAATAGATCAACAAGGAGGCATCCCATGTGGAGAAGGAGGCAGAGTAGGCACAAATGATGTCTGAAACTCCTATAAAAGACTCTTCAATGTGCATTTGGACAGGCTGAGGGAATCACAGGAAATAAAATTTAAAAATGCCCCATAACAATATACAAAAAAAGGAGGGACTGAGACCAAATCTGAAAGTGATCCTGACAGAAATGCGTGTTGCAAAACAATTATGAAAATATTTGTTCAGCAATAAAAACTAAAGAAGCCTTTGGTGCAATGCCCTTCAATCTCGGTATCATGTGGCTTTCAAAAGGAATTCCTAGCCAGAAACAGTTACATGCAATTTTGGAACTCACATTCAAAGCAGATGTAGCAACAGCTTGATGCAATATCTGTCTTTGATTGCAATGCCGTGTGATGGGGAAACCCATTGATATGAAAGTAATAAGAGCAAGACCTGCTCCTGAGAGCACCGGAAGCTGCATGTCTTACCAAGTCCAGTAAGAAGAGGAAACAAACCCAATTGATGTACTGAGGAGATAACCCAATAGATTAGAAAACAAATTTCAACAATCTATTACCTCTCAAAGATACAAAAAAAAAAAAGTATTTTAAACTTTCACTTTTAATCGACACGGGAAGTATTAACTAATTTAAGTCAAAAAGAAACAATGTCAATACTATGTTAACTGAAAAAAAAATAGTCTTTGACCCAGTAATTCCACTTCTCAGAATTTATTCAAATACATGGAAATATATGATGTATATATGTAAGAGAGAGGAGAAAAGATGTTAGCAGGATAACATACACTGCATTTGTTTGTACATTTTATGTGTGTGTGTGTGTGTGTGTGTGTGTGTGTGTGTGTGTGTGTGTACATGTGTGAAAGAGATAGTAGGTAAGTGAATGGCTGGTGTAAAGCATCCACACAGTGTAATACTAGACTGATAATAATGGTAACAAGTTTATAGCGACAGAATCATAAAAGCTCAGAGCCAGGCAGACATAACGAAAAGTTTCAGCATGTATAATATAGAAGCACAAGGGAGGGGCTCACTGGGACAGAGTGGAAAGGAATCACCTGGAGAAGAGCTGGGGTGCTGCAAAGACCTGGAGGGGAGAGGAACGAGCAAGAAAAAAGCGACATGCTTGTATGAAGGTGCCATGATACATCCGATAATTTATACTAGTCTCGTGTTTTCAGTTAAAGCAATTTCTGGCAAATGATTAATACAAGTATATACATTCATTTACCTTTGTCTTCATCAAAAAGATTAACAATTAGTGACAAATCACAGACACATTAGAAAATTATCAGTTATGCGATATTAATGATCATGAAGCCATTTAGTTTTTAATCTATCATCTATCTATTTACACTTCTATCTATCTACTTACTTAATTGTGTGGTGCTGGGGATGAACCAATAACCTTGCACACACTAGGCAATCAGTTTTGAGATTCTTATCTATGTCCAATCTACACCCAGAA